AAAGAATCTATATAAAGTTAATTTATAAATTTAAAATAATTAACACATTCAGCTAATATACAATGACTTTCCATCCATCAAAACAGTCAATTCTTATGCCATAATTTAAAAGATTAAAAAAAACACACATATACTCATCTATATTAATTAAGCATTCTATTTTTAATTACTAACAGAGATAATTACAAGTTCTACAACGTCAAAGAAATGATCCTTGTACTAGACTTTGTAACTTTTGTTTTGTAATCAGGATTTCAACAATAGCTAGTATAAAACCAGAGTATTACAAACTTCAAATTCAGTATTTACAACAATGAAATTGATTACTAGTACAATTTACAAAAATCTCAAACAGTTGACCTGATTAGTAAAAAGAAACAAGAAAAACCTTTAATCATTGACTTATGGTAGCTTTTGGTATGAATTTTCGATAACAGGAATTTTGTTACCAACAATAAAACACAAAAGGTAAAAAGTAAGAAAATCTTGGACTAAATTATGTTTGAACTAAGACCTGTCTGCTGAACTATAAAAAACAATTGATATATAATACTTAATCTAGTAACAAGCAATTATTTATTGTGATGACATCACAACTTGTAATCATATTTTTAATTTATTTAATTTAAAATATATGCTCTCCACTTCAAATTAGTAGTGGCTTGTCCCTGTACATCATACTTTTCCTTTAACAATAGAGTCACGGAGGTCATCTAACATCTTTTGGGGGAAAATTTTTGAATTGAAATAATGTGACTTCCAGTTTGCAATAAATTTGTACATAGTTAATCAGGGCCTCCTGGCTCAAGGTTTCCATATCTGGTCTCGTCTCATCTATCTGACTCTGTTTGCGAGATGGATGGATGGACGACAGTGGGAATTTATAGGTTTACATTTTTTCAAATTTATATATTATAAATTATAATTTGAGTTTAAATTATTGACTACATAATGTAAATACTTGGTACAATTGTGTGAGAACCTGGACTAAATAACAAAGAGATACATTTTGGCATTGTTTCCCCCCCTTTTTTAGAGGTAACTAAAGTATGCCTGAGAGAGTTCCCCCTATCACTTTCTCAGCCTCGATAATGACGCTTTCCCACAACCTTTTATTTTCCTGTCTGTATTTTGCTGTTCTAATATACTAATGAATGGCCAAATCAGGCAGTCATCGCCAGTTCTTCCATCGAGATAATTGTATCTGTGCATCTCCTTTTAATTAATGGATTGATCACCTCCTTCATCAACACATTCACTTTTATCATCCTCAGAACCTCCACAACAAGGTATTTATCAACTCGCAAACCTTTGTGAACTCTCTTGCACTCAAGGTTACTAAAAATCCAAACTGACTCACTAAAGTTGTCGGAAGTGTAAATCCTATAAACAAATAAATGGGTATTTGTTTATTTAACTTGTATCAGAATGTTTTTCCTCCACCACACTGTCTCTTGGACCAACTATGTACACAACCACTTGCACAAACCAATTATAACCTAAATAAACAGCTGTCGTGGCTTCTGTGTCAATAGAAGGCACGGTGTGTCATCTTGACATGCATCGAAGAGGTGATGACCCCGTGGTCATAATAGTACTGACAAGAATCAAGGAAGTGCTTTTGGGTGAATCTGTAAACATAGTTCATGGGAATTGCATAATCTTTTCCACCTGTTCCACTAATAATGCATTAAGTTTGAGAAGAAAAGTGTCAATTTCTGATGAGAGGTGTCTACATTTTTATATTTAAGGTGGGAATGAATACCATTGTTAAAATATAAATAAATGGTATCAAATTTTCGTTGTAATGTATATTTAGACTCAATACGAAAAGACCAATCCATGGAATATAATTGTTTTGAAGCATCTTTCCATTGGAAATACTTCCATTGTGGAATTAAAACAAAGTTACTGGATATTTTAACTGGGTTGAGAAATAGCAAGACCTGGCAAAAGAGTGGAATGGTTGAATTTAAAGCCATTAATTGGGTAAACAGTGGTGTGAATGTTAAGGCAAAAAAGTAGATCAAAGAACAATTTTCCACATTCTGCAAAAGCAATAAATTTCATTTAGAAAAAAAATTGTTCACAATACTCGAATTGAGAATAAGAGGGGAGACCAGCTGGCAATTGATTATTTGTGAGGTCAAAATCACCTAAAAGTATAACTTTGTGAACAAAGTTTCTAAAATAATTTTTAAAAATCTTTTTAAATGTAAGAATAGTGTATCGTGGGAGTGATGGTTATGAAATTGAATGAATAACTAGGAATAATGACACAAAAAAGGGATCCAAAGAGATTTTATATTTTGCATAAATATCTTTAAACTAGACATGACAGCAATATTTATGTGAAATAATAATTTTGTTTAAAAAATTATAATAATAAAAATAATATAAAATTTCTTAAATATAAATAATCAGCACCAAAATCAATTAATCACTTAAAATTATCAACAGCTTAAAATTGCACGGCTTGATTGCCACAGCAAGTGAGCTGACCAGCAGAAGTGGAAGTCCGACTTGCTGTATTGGTTTGAAAATGGTCTTTTTTACAATGTTAACTTGCATATTGAACATACAAAAAACATTAAATGTTTCATAACCAGTGATTCTATTAATATCATGATTGTACTATATTTTGCAACCAATTTAAACCCTCAATTAGCAGAATTCAATTTCTATTCTGTTCTATTCAAATTCGAATGGAGTTAGATAACCACTGTGGTTTGAATATTAGAACAAATTATAT